TTCATCCCTTCGTTTATATAATCATCTATCTATCCACCAATATATCTATCCCTCACTCTATCCACTCACTCCCCTTATCCCCTTTATATCTTTATCTATCTATCTATCTTTTTACTTTATTATCTCATTTCTCTCTTCTTTCCTTCGTTTATATCTATCTATCTATCCACATTTACTTATTATCGTATTTCTAATCTATTCATTCCTTCATTTATATCTTTATCTATCTATCTATCTATCCCTCACTCTATCCACTCACTCCCCTTACCATACCTCGTGTTATCTGCCCTTTTACTTATTATCTTATTCTTAATCTATTCCTTCCTTCATTTATATCTTTGTCTATCTCTCTCTCCACTAATATATCTATCCACTCACTCCCCTTACCAGACTGGCGACACCGTGGTATCTATCTGCGACAAGACCCACACCGGGTGGTCGAGGGACATCACCGTCAGGAACTGGGCGTGCTATCGGGCGCAGAAGAAGGAGCCGATGCCCCAGAAGACCCACGCCCTTCAGCTCATGGCTCAGGTGGGTGCAGGGGGGTGGGTGGGGGGTGGGGGCGCGGACGTTTTTTTTTTTGGGGGGGGGGGGGGATGGAGGGAGGGTTAGGGGGGGGAGGGGGTTATTGGGTGTGGGCGGGTGGGAGGGGGGTTATTGGGGTGTGTGGAAGGAGGGGAAGGTGGGGATGGGAAGAGGGGGGTCTCCTTGTGTGTGTGTGTGTGTGTGTGTGTGTGTGTGTGTGTGTGTTGTGTGTGTGTGTGTGTGTGTGTGTGTGTGTGTGTGTGTGTGTGTGTGTGTGTGTTGTGTATGTGTGTATGTGTGTGTGTGTGTGTGTGTGTGTATGTATATCGAGGCCAGAAAAGATTACTTTTTATAGGTCATACCATTAAAATGGACATCCCTGCATGTACAAAATATAATACTTAATGAAAATAAAGGTAATGGCTGGTGGATACACAGTGCATTTGAATTTTTGCTAGTTTTACGGCTCGAGGACAGATTCCATCATTGGTGACTCCTCAGGTCAAGACCCACTGGTGCCACAGGGACATATTTTCCATTTTAGTGACTTACAAAGATAGAAAGTCAAATTGAAACGTGTGTTGTAGCTCGGACGGACATATTTTCAAGGGTCAAAGTGGCGGCCATTTTGGTTGTTTACAAACGAGCGAATTACGTATCCAACCTCCGCCAACCCTGCCTTCGCCCCGCTCGCCACGCAACCCTTCGCGAAATGCTTTGTCAGGTCGGCCGTTCACTAAATTAACTCGGCTGCAAACCCATGATCAAGGTCTTTATAAGTACTTATATAGACCTTGCTCATGGTGCGTTTTGCCTGGTGAACGCGAAGACATTTTGCGATCGGCCGGCCCTCTTGGCGCATTTTCATCAGACATTTTGCAAATAAATAAAAAAATCGATGCGGCGGCCATTTTCAGTTGCGGAGCTGATGAGAAACCGCATTTTTTAAATAAGCCTAACCAAAATGAATTTGATTTATTTTAATTACTTAGAATCTTCAACCTATGATCAGACATAACTATACGATTAATTACTTATGATTCACCGTTTATAATGAGTTATGTAATTAATTGTCAACCAATCATCAATAAAAAAATATTACTAATCAACTTATAATTAGCCATTCATCTAAAATTAACCACCTGGAATTAATCATGTCCATAATTAATTCCTTCTAATTAGTAAACCTATTACTGATCACAAAGTAAAAGTTTTTCTAGCATCTATAATTCATCTTAAAAATTAATGGACCAATATTTATGCCCATAATTAATCAAACAAACGTGAACTACTTATTGTAAATGTCAATCCAAAATTGATGATCAAACTATAATTGATAACTTTAATAATATAATAAAATTTTACTCGTCCAACTTTAATTTAATAATATAACTTTAATCTCTAACCCATAGTTATCCATCAACCTATGATTAATTAACCGTCAGTTAATCCTTAACCCACAATTAATCACCCTAATCACCCAATAGCCAATTAATTCTCAAAGTCAATAAACCACCATACTAACAACCCCCCTCCCCCCCCTCCCCCAGGAGAACTCCCTCTACAAGTACAACAAGGACTTCATCAGCTCCATCAACTCACACCAAAGCAGTTGGGTCGCTGACGTGTACCCGGAGTATGAGACTATGACCCTTATGGACCATCTCAGGCGCAACGGTGGAAGAGCGTACGTATTATGTGGATGTGAATGTGTGTGTGTGTATGTGTGTGTGTGTGTGTGTGTGTGTGTGTGTGTGTGTGTGTGTGTGTGTGTGTGTGTGTGTGTGTGTGGTGTGTGTGTGTGTGTGTGTAAGTATGTATATATGTATGTATATATGTATGTATGTATGTATGTATGTATTATATGTACACACACACGCACGCAAACACACGCACACACACACACACACACACACACACACACACACACACACACACACACACACACACACACACACACACACACACATATACATACATTCCTATACTGTACATATACACACTATGCATACGATCGTGCATATAAAGCGTAAGTGTGTATATCCGAGAATAAGGATTAGAAAAACAGCTAAAGAAAAACAAACAAAAACTAGTTAAATAACCACATTCATAATCACAAAATATAGATAATACAAGCAGTCATATAACTAAATCAACAAAATAAAAACAATATAGTAATAAAAATACACTAGCAATCATAAAATCACAAATTGCAAGGAATGATATAACAGCAGTAAAACTAACAATCATGTTACCACAACCACAAAATACAATATTAAACCACGAAAATATAAAATTATAAAACCACCACCACATAATACAAACAGTTACAACACCGCAACCACAACATACAATCCTATATTCATAGCCCAATTATACAATCATATATCCACAACCACAAAACACAATCATACATCCACAACCCCAGATACACAAAATAAAATAGAACATCAAAAAATGTAAACAATCACACAAACACAACCGTACAAAAAATCCTAAAATCAAAACCCTTACGACATGCAAAGTAAAAACAGGAAGAAAAAAAATATAATATTAAAAGGAAAGAAAGAAAAAAAAACACACAAAATCAAAATTAACTCTCCCATCCTTCCCTTTTCCCTCCTTAGGTCAGCCGTCGCCAGCCGAGCTCACTCAGGGCCTGTAAGTTTCATGACCAGACTGCGTGACCTGTCCCTGCCCAAGGCGTGGGACTGGCGCAACGCCAGCGGGGTCAATTACGTGTCTCCAGTCAGGTAAAGAAGTTTTCAAGGTCAAGTTTTGACCCTTTTTTGTGGGTTTTAAAAGGGCGTTTCTTTTAAGGTGTTTTAAAATTACTTTTTCTTTGTTTAGGTGTTTTAAAAAACAGTTTTTTGTGTTTTATTATTTTTTTTTAGGTGTTTTAAATTCACTTCGTTTTTTTGTTTTGAAATTATTATTTTTATTTATTATAAAACTGTTTAAGGTGTTTTAAATGTTTTGAGGTATTTTAATAAATTTTAAAGGTGTTTTGAAGTGTTCAAGGTGCTTTACCATGTTCTAAGGTGTTTTGTTGTGTTTTGCTGTTTCAATGTGTTTTAAAAAGTATATTTAGGTGTTTTGCAGTATATCAAGGTACTTCAATTTCTCTAAATCTATCACCTTCTCCTTCAGTTATACTGATAATCATGACAGGATTTTATAAATATTTTTTTCTTATTAAAGCTTGTGTGTTGAAATCCAAGAATCCTTAACTGCCGTTTAATCAAAGATATTGGTAATCATCAAAGTTTTTTTTTCTTCATACAGATTTTTCTGATAAAATATCCTACATGCTGAATTCTAAATTGAGATCTGCTCACTTATCGGTTTCTAATTATACCGATAACGATCTAAGGTTAAACACATTTTTTCCCCATAGAAAAATACATCATATATTTTGACTCTTCCAAAATCCAAAATCTAAATCATATGAATTCTCTGTATCCTGAATCCACTTCCGTCTCCTCAGTTTCTAAATATAGCAGTAAGCATCACACAATTTATATTTTTTTACCTCAGTGAAAACAGTTCATACATATTACATCCTCCAAAAATCCTAAATTTGAATCCCCTAAATCCTAAACCTTAATTTTCTGTTCTCTGTAATTCTAAATGTACTGGTAACCGTTAGTTTCGTTATATACATTTTTTTCCTTATCAAAACACATCATGCAAACTAAATCCTTCTCCACATCAGGAACCAATCCTCTAAATCTAAATGTGCTGGTAATCATTGTTTGTTTGTTTGTTTCATTTTTTTTTCCTTATCAAAACATATCATAAAGACTAGTGTAAATTATCCTTCATATCAGGAACCAGGGCAACTGTGGCTCCTGCTATGCCTTTGCTTCCATGGGTGGTCTGGAGTCTCGAGTTAGGATTCTGACCAGCAACCACCAGAAGCCAGTTTTTGCACCACAGGATATTGTAGGATGTTCAAAGCTCTCTCAAGGATGTGACGGTGGTTTCCCATTCCTTATCGCTGGCAGGTGAGTCTGTGAGTCTCGTAGTAAAATGTAGAGGAAAAAGTGAATGAGGTGGAGTAAGTCCACAGTATCTAAACTTCTAATTTCATGTTATAAGCAAACAAATACACAGAAGGCCTTTTCGCTATATTGCTTCTTCAGAGCCTAGTCGTGTTTTCCTGCTTACCTCTTCCCTATTTTATTTACATCTTGTTCAAAATGAATTCTTCCAGTTTCATACATATATACAAATATCCTCCATCTTAAGGACGTGAACCATGCCATGCTAGGTAACACCATAACATAGAATTAAGCCACTATACACACTTACCTTATTTGACTCATGAACCACATCCTGATTTGGTGTTGCCTCAGCAAGTTATCTGGAAAACTAGGCAAACCAGAGCATCTTTTACCCAAATAGTGCTATAATTTCATGAGCAATCAGAATTTATAGTCTATGGTTGCCCTATTAGTTTAATATTATTATACTGTTATAGCATCTTTATACAGGCTTTGAAGTTAGCCTAGATGCACCATGCCCAGCAAAGTCCTATGTGTAATCTTATTGAAACTGGGGGGCTGGATGCCCAGAGGTAGCTCATGGACCAGGGCTATGTCCAGGTGGTGGATCTGGGGCTTCAGAAATAGTGTCAATGGAACTGTCTGGTCGGTCAATTTTTTTTCTTGGGTTGCGGGGTCTATTGGTTCAGTTCCATTCTCTCTGGATATTACCAACAATGACTGGATTTGAGTCCTTGTCAGGCAGATAATTTGCATATCTATATAAAATGTGTGATAGTATTATTAAAGCATAAATTCCCTATATTGCATAGTGGAACTGTTAATTGTCAGTCACACTATTCTCAAAATTTGTCACATTGGACTCGTGTCATGAGACTTTGCTTGTGGGAGATAGTTGAAATGTACATATATGCTTAAGAATCTAAGAAAAACAAATTACTTTTAGCACCAAAGGTGAATAAAAAATATTGTACATATTTAAAAAAGAAATGGTAAGTTTATATCTTCTCTCCCCTCAGGTATGCACAAGATGTTGGTGTTGTGCTGGAGAACTGTTACCCCTATGAAGGCAAAGATGACACATGTGTTAGGACTTCCTGCACCAAACATTACACAGCATATTACCGTTATGTTGGAGGTTAGTGTTGGGAACAGTAATGCATAGGAACTATGAATTCTCACATTTTGTAAAGAACAGGTAGACAAAATTACCAGTTACCAAACTTAAGTATTGAAAGTAGACAAGTAAATTATGGACTTTCAATTCATTCACATAGACAGATGACTCCACAAGAACTTAGTCACCAAGCAATTACTAGTCCTATCTGATCTCACTTGTTTACCCTTTTCCTTGATTTTGGAGTGATAAAAAAAATGCTATTGCTATCAATACTGATATGACATACTACTAATAAAAAATAGCTATAATGGTACTAATAGCATTAGAAAATAAAACCATCTGCAAATTTAAGGATATTAGAGGTCAGATACTAATTAACTCCTTGGTGACTAAGCACTTAAGAGCCATCTGTGTATGCAAAATTCACAAAACAAAATACAGTATACTTTGCAGTAACCCTAAGTATCAACAGGTTAACATTTTTTTCCCTTCTCCTAGGTTACTATGGAGCCTGCAATGAAGAGGAGATGAAACTAGCTCTCATCAAGGGAGGACCTCTTATCGTGGGCCTCGAAGTCTACGATGATTTCCTCCATTACAAGAGTGGTATTTACCATCACACAGGTCTTCAGGACAGATTTAATCCTCTTGAGGTAAAGTAGACTATTCACATATCAATATTCTTTAAGAATTTTTACTTGGAAAAAGGGGATATTGCTTTCTATTGTATTCTAACACTATACTAATTAAAATACTAGTATGAGATATGGAAGGCTCTTCACATATAAAGATACTTCAAGAATTGATTGTTTTTTAATATAAAAAGTTTGCATTGTATTCTATTCCCTTACTGAAATGCATTAATATGTAAAGTAGAATCTGCTGTAGATTATTCAGGTATAAAATTTGTTAGGACAGTTTATACTCTCAAAAAATAGATCATCATCTGCTACATGTTCAGGAGTAAAACATCAGAAAAATCCCATTTCATCAAAAGAATAACAAATTTGAATTGAAACATCAACAAACTACCATAGTTCATTTAATCTTTTACTAAAACAAATGTTTCCTGATCTATTTTTATGATAATTATAAACTTGAAATTAATCTTGAAGGATAATTCCCATATCTCTTTCTACCCATACAGCTGACAAATCACGCAGTATTACTCGTTGGATACGGAGAAGACGAGGCAACTGGAGAAAAGTACTGGAGCGTTAAGAATTCCTGGGGTGAAGAATGGGGAGAGGATGGTTACTTTAGGATTCGTCGTGGTGTTGACGAGTGCGCCATCGAATCCATGGCTGTGGAAGCTGTACCTATCCCATAAAATAAATAATGACAATAATCATAAGCTGTGGTATGAAAGATTTCAATATTGCATTTGGCTTCTTTGGCAAGATGTGACAGGCTAATGTTGGTAATATTACTTGATAGCATTACTAGTTTTCATAATGAGATTGTAAACATGGTAAGCAACATTTCAGGGAAAAAAAACAAAAAAAAAACAGAAGAGGTTTTCTGTACAAAAGATATATCTAGAGAAAATTTATTATGGATTAGTAATCAAAATATTCTTATCATATTGGATTCTCATGCTAATTCTTAGTAATTAAAGAAGACTTCACAAGAAATAAAGCTCAGGTTATGAACAGCTTTGGAGACTATTTGAAATACAATAATTTGGTGTTTTTGTAATTGTAATTCCTTATTGGAAATTGACCTTCAACAATAACAAAAAGGAACTGTGCATTATAGGCCATCTTACCACTGCATATATTATGATGTATATATCTTTTTTCATATATCACTTCTTACTTTTTTTTCGTTTTTCCTTAAATACTC